AAAGAGTATTCTTAGGAAGTTTCAGCTGAATCCAAGTTTGAGCGATTTCCTTTACCTTAGTTAATGAAATGGTCTAATTCTTTGTGTTTTAAAAATTACGAAATCAAAGTCTTTCGTGTATTCTATCATTGATCRAGTCTCGTAAAGCCGTTGTATGTCCCTAGAGTATAAAACTCTTTTATTAAACCCAAAACAATTTTGATATTTTGGAATAAATTATTTTCATTTTATAAACTTATATATCGTTTGTAAAGCAAATAAGTTATTGTAATAAATTATAAAACACGTGAGAATTTTCCCTTATAATGTTTACTTAACTGATTTTCAAGGTGTTAAAGCCAGGAAATAAAATGGCTGCCACTTCTGTTTTCTCTTGAACCCGTCAGCTTGTGGTRCGGATTAATTCTTTGTCATGCAGATGAAGGAAACAAGAGGGCCTCGRACGTCACTCTCGACAATGTTTTTCAATATTTACCAAAGGATTGTGATGAAGTCGTGAACAGCATTTTAATATGAAACTACGAGATTTGTTTTTTTAGCGGTCGAAGATAACCCTTTCACGGAACCCAATCATTGTGACCAAGCTCACAGGAAACTGCAGATTAAGCCTCGCTGTCTTTGAGCTTTTTCCCAACGACAACAGAAGCTAGAAAACCCCTGAATTAAGGAACAGTAGAGTGGAGCTAAGATGGGAAAATATCTGAGTTGGCTGTTGGTTGTTAGTGGTGTTTTTGTGTCGGCATCGACTACAATTATCTACCCTCATCTTCAATGGGATCCTAGGAATCTTTTGTAAGTAAACACGAGGATTTGTAACAAGTTTRTAGTTCACTATAAAACCACGAAAAAGCACAACACTTTTGCTTTCTATTCAGAGAAACGCTCTTTGCAAACAATTTTGGTCTTGTTTGAATTGCGTTTTCACAAATTTTAAGAAAGTAGAAGCGCAAAACTGTTGTGCAAAGCCTGTTTTTGAGTCGAGAGAAAAGTTTGTAAAAGATGTCCCTTTATAAGAGATCAAATGTAGAGTTTCCTATACAATGAATGTTCAATCTTTTGTCAGTTTGAGGAAAAGTTTTGTCTCGCAGCTGTAAAGTTTCAATAAGAACTCGGAATTATTAACCCAAACAAGTAAATCTGCTAGTATTAAGGCTTCTCCCTAAATCTCATAATTGACACAAGGAAAATATGTCGGTTCTTTAAATTTGTACATTTTAAAATACTTTAACCGAATRAATTTACATTACAGCATTTTTACCACGATTTCAAGAATAAACTCTCAGTGTCCATCAAAATAAGTGACTTTTATGAAGAACATTCCCGAACAGGAGTTTTTCTGCAAACTACTAAGAGGGTAGAGAAACCATTTAGCTGTCATAGCGAAGACCCATTTATATAATACGGTCTTATAAGTTGAAAGAATTTATTAATTWWWWAAAAAAWTTTTTTTAGCGAATCAGTAAATATTTCGTCTTTATACCAAACTCAAAACAAACTGAATAGGCTTATGAAAAATCCAAACAAATGAATTTCAATGTGTCAACTTTGAAAAAAAAATTCAAAGTGCTTGTSACGGATAAAGTGGCTGTTTTCGTAAGTTGCAACCTTACGACCTAAAGACGTTGAATTGAATTCAGCTGATTTCAAAGGAACAAATCAATATTTCCTACACAGCTTGTTTGTTTGCTCAGCTTGCTACTTGAACAAAGTTAAACTTGAGTATCATCCTGCCCTATTGCAAACAGTTGTTAATGGAACATGGATATTAATGGTCCAAGATATTGAATCATACTTATGGTATTAAATTAATTTTTCTTTGCCTCTCATTTCTTTTTTCCATATTTACTCTATCTTTTATTTCTCTAAAGTTCTCTTTCGCCTTTTTATTTTATTTCCGTTTTTTTTCCGTTCATTCTTCAACCTTTTCATTCCTTTCTTTCTTCCTTCCTTCCTTC